ACTGAAATAGAGTTCAATTTAAATAAATCCGGTCTATTTCTCCGTAATGAATTTATTGTATAGTGGAACAAAAACCCCGGATATTTCTAATGCATGAATAATTCGGATACAAACGTTAATATGTATTCTATTCCACACGATCAAGGTGAACGACCCTATATCTTTTTGATGAGATTTATTTAATATAAATTTCTTATACAAAAAAGTCTTTTATGCCCATACCTACTACTCGTATATCTCCGTTTGATTATTAATGTTTTAAACATTTTTTGATATATTAAGATATAAATTTCTCTTAAATTATGAACGTATGAATGAAGACATCAATTGGGTATATCTAATCAAACATTTCAACAGAATGGTAAGACATCAATGGAGATCAAAGAATTGAAAATACAAAAGATATAAATGTACTTATTCCACTTTATTATTATGGTATGGTATTAAATATGCCAGAAAGAAGATATGTACAGTATTCTGAGAGGGTATTTCTATCTAAATTAACTTTACTGTCAGTAACTTGCTTTGGAATTGTATTCAGGTTTGAGGGGTGAGATTTGGCAGTATATGGCATAATCTGCTGTAGGGAATATAATATCGGGAAATGTATATCTATCTATCTCAGAGAATATACCATATACAATACTCAGAAATGGCAAGGTATACCGAGGTAAGATACACTAACATGATGTATGTCATGGTGTCTATGGTGCTGTTCATGTTTATAGTCGACAGTTATACCTTTCTGTCAAATGGTACGTTAGCTTACTTACCATTTCTATTATCTATATATTTAAAAATCACAAATCTAATAATAATGCCATGCGGAGATTAAAAACTCATTGATGACTTCAATCACAACAGGGTTGCCATTTATATTAAAATATAAAATATAATAAGAATTAAAATGAAACGTTTTGTGTAACATGCCACTAGAACATTACGGACATCCCTCACAGTTATAAAATGGTAATCTGTACTGCAAGCGAATCGTGGAATATAATTTTATATTTCAATGGAGGAGCGGGTGATGAACTAAACACAGCGGTAGGACTATTATGTTATTCCCGTTCTAATTTAAACAAAAGTTAATGAACCATAACTAATAAATACTAGCTGTCCCAGCAAACGTTGTTTTGCGATATAAATTAAAAGTGCTATTAAATATAGGGGTTGGTGATGGAAGGGTAAAATTAAAGGGTGAAAATTAGGATTGTATGTATTTTTTAATACCACATTATAAAAAAAAAATGTTAGAGGTGGCCAACCCTTATCACTTAGAGTCATGAAAAATAGATAATAGCTGATTCTCAGACCTACTGAATAAACATATAAAGTTTCATAAAAATCGGATCAAATTTCATCAAATCCGTTTCAGAGAAGTATGGTATAGTTACCATACTACTCGAAAATGGCTTGACCGATCTTATTTATAAAATAATCTTTAAGATTACGTCCAAGTAAACATAACATACATTATTGTCTATAATTATATATTTTTTTTATTTCAATGCATTCAAAATAAGAACATGTTTTTAGTCTCTGAGGCTAAAGGCAAATAGATGCAGCAATAACTGTCAGTTTCTATTTGTTTCAGTAGTGAATTGTATGCAATAATGGAATTATATAGTCGAGTCTCATGTGTAATAAGTACGACGTGTGTAATCGCAGAATTAATTATTTAAATCCAATGTAACATGAATTACATTAGTCAATAACTGAATGTATTTCATTACTCTGACTTAGAGACACTAAAGGCCGTCAGTTTGAATCTGAGAACGCCAATTATGTGTTATTATTAATAACACATAATTGGCATTCTCAGATTTGATTTAATTCTTCAACGACAAACTGAATTAATTTGAGAGATGGCGGTAGGCTCGCTGTGCACGAAGTTAAACATACCCTGGTCATACTGGATTGATAGCTACACGCAGCCATCTTTGGTAATGCTTTGGTACGTTGTTGACCGCACAATCCTTCCGTCTTGATATGAAATGGAACGCAATCTAATTAGAAAAAAAAACTTTTTTTTCTGATGTGTGATCTATGCTATGAATGTGATTTGTAACTTTTTCGATGTTAAAATATATATAATTGTAAAATGCACAAGTATTTCATGAAGAAGTGTCTTATCAGAAATATGTGGGCTTTTTTTATAGAAATGGTATGGTGTAGGCGTGACCTGCGGTAACAGTTTAGGAGAGCGAAGGCAGGTGATCTGTAACGAATTCATCACGAATTAACCGTGATAGTTTCCATGGGAACCGCGTGGAGGTCTACCTAATACCTAATATACCCTAGTATATTGTTAGCAAGCGGGCGTCCCTTTATATAAATTCTTCTGCCCAGTTACATATATTATACTATACATTACATATAACTGAGTAGAAGAAAGTATGTTGAGAGAGTATATGTTAAACGTTGCGTTCAGTACAACGTCGTCAGGTAATAATTTATCTGAAAATATATACTACATACATTTTGTAAGTAACTTAGTAAAAATCTGGTAGAAATTAAGGTCTAGCATAAACGTCCCAACACGGAGAGTGCTTTCCGGCACATGTCAGAATTTTCCTGTTAAACATTTTCAGTAAGGCACTTGTTATAGCTTGTAGCGTGCATGCCAATAACGGATCTTGAAAAATTCACTTACTGCCTAGTATACTAATATTATAAAAGGAAAAGTGTATATGGAAACACATATTGTGTTATAAATATTTAGATACACTAGCGAATATAGTTTTTATGTCATGTAACTTATTATCATCTATAATAAATTATTTGAAGATAAGCGTCAAAGGCTTTACTTATAAGATATTTAATATGTACCCTTTATACAAATTTAGATCCGTAACAGAGTCCTAATATAAGTAATGCAAATAACAGATGGTTATATTTAGAACGTAGGGTTTGTTTAACTTACTCAGTTTATTATTAGAGCTAATATCCACAAAGTATCCAGTTTATCCGGTATAATTATCCTAAAAATCCTGTTGTTAAGTTCCATCCGCAAAAAGATAAAAAGATCACGTCGCTTTGGTTATTTGTGTCGCCCCTGAACTTTGCCGAAGACGGACGGTGAGCAATAAAACTGAATGTTATCTCGCTAATTTTTTCCCTCGCCTCAGATCTGGTGATTTCAGTCGCCATAACCGGAATCTACGGAGAACCGGAACGATTATGACACGACTTAGCGAAAATTCTGTAGAAATCGAAAATTGTCGGTAAAAGTTTATCCGAGAAAGAGCTGAATTACAAATCCGTACCTCCAATTCTGAGATAAAGAAATATCTGGTTACATAGATGAGTCGATAGAGTGATTGTGTTATATATAAAAAAATGTATATCGATAGAATTCAATTTTATTTTATTAGGACCTGAGTGGAACTTCATCTGAAAGTTAATCAAGAGGGAAACGTGTTTCATGCAATTTGTACACCAATTTGACCCTTATAACAGCCAACAAGGTCCTTCATAATGTTTTCGTTTTAAAAACGAGCTTGTTTCGACGTCGTTTGTTTTGTCAGAATATTGAATGGGTACTTATATTGAACAGGTAAATGCAATAGACACCCACTTCTAAAATTTAATCGTTTTTTGTGATTTGAATAATTTCCGAATTACGGTATCAACATACATGTTCTTTTTTAACATTGACTTAACTTTTCTTTGACACTATGATTTGTCATCTAAATCTATAAAAATAATATAGGCATATTAATCCCAGCATTGACTTGTAACCTGCAGTGCTCTATAACAGCAATATAGTTAAAATTTTAAATATTTAAAAATCGAATGCTATATATGTTACAAGGTGTACATGCGATAAAGTCGCAAACTACTTTACTTATATTACTTATATATTATGTCTAGAAACTAAAGAATTGTACTTTTCAGGAATATAATAAGATCAAAGAATAAGATCTCATAAGGTTCCACAATGCGCACGTGATACTCCTGGTGTTTCAAGTGTCCATAGGCTACGATAAACATATACCATCACATGGGCCATGGGTTTGATTACCATATCGTATAAAAAAATATCACCTTTCTTATAGTACATATTTTTAATATATATATAAATAATGTTTAAACATTTTTTACAGCTAATCGAACACGTGCTGATGTGGTTTGTATGAAGAATAATTTGATTTTACCCAACAGCCGGAGAAAGGAAGGTAATTTGTGTTCTAACTTTCGGACTTCCCTAGGGAAATACCTCTTTCACTTTCAGTAATATTGTTGAAATTCGCGCTGTTATATCCTTTTTGTTACAAATTGTATAATTATGTTTATCTGTCATTTACAGTTGGGATATGCAGTAAAGATTCGACTCGTTTTGTATTTCCATTTATCACTAGTAGGAATATATACATCGTTGTATTTACTATGATGAGAAGGAACTAAATTTCGAACTAAATTTTGATCTTATTACTTAAAAAGAGTTTGAATAGCAAACTCTTTTTAAGTTATTCCTAAATTTTACTCCTTAAATTATGTTTAAATTAAATCTTATAATATGATAATATAAAATTAATAAATACATAAACAAAATTTGCTGATTGATATTAATGATTATTACTTGCATTGTTATAATATAAACTTTACAAAATTGATGAGATGACAAAATATGAGTATATTATTCTTCTCTTACTTACTATTATGGCACTAGTACATGTAAAAGTTATATGTAGAGACAAGAAATAAATACGCTAAGTCACCTGGTCAATATGGTAACAGTAAATATTTATAGATAGTAAATATCTTTGATTTATCGTGAGGGAGTCACAATCAGCCATAGAAATATAATGTACCATATATTGAATAACTGAAATATTTTATCAACTACTTTTATATATTATTATTAGATATTTATCAACTATTCAAAAAATAGTTTTCCATCTTTTAATAAAAACATTTTTTTTAATAATTTCTGAACAATACACGAGTGTCTTACTAATATATTGCAAAAAAAAAATATAACATCTTCTCTGAATTTAGTCTATGAACTTTGAGAATTGTATTATGATTACCAAGTAGGTCGTACAAAGACTGGTATAGCTCAGTGGCAGAGACATATTGAGTCTTATTACTCCCCAGAGGGCATAGGCGAATTCGCTCTCCCTAGTCAACTGAAAAAATGCTTTTACTCGCCGCCGGTCGATTTTCTCTGTAAATGAATAATTTTCAATAGATAAAATTAGCAAATAAATAGCTCTGAACTGTCGCTTGAGAATAGAACTGATAATCTTATTATCTCTGGTGAGACATAGAAAGTATTTTTATTTACACAGTTATTTATTACTAAGGTAAACATTGTAAATAGAATTCTACGAGTCATCTAGTACTGCCGTTTTATTGTAGATATTTGTAGATACACTATTTATAAAGGGATAAATATTTTAATGGTAGATAGTGAAGTATATATATATATATAGTTTTTGATTAAAGAATACAAAAAATAAACTTTGAATATATTAATATCAAAAGAGTTTCTCAACACGTCCTGCAGTTTTTTAAAAATAAGGTTATAGTTAAGTTACACCCGTCAGAAAAATTGCAATCAACTATGATTGTTTCATCCTACAGGAAGCAATAATTGTAACTGCTATCCACCATAGGTATGGTAAATACAACTTTAATACAAACATACCTAGTTGGGCCCCATTCATGGCATCATGAAGCATTGTCCGAATATTTGCAACTTGCGTAGTTGTAATACTGGAATAATAGCACGGAAAAATCACTAGCAATGTGTATTTAAGACAACGGGCAGAAATGTAGATTACTGTTGCGTCCTTTGTCTGCAATATAAAAAATATAATTATTTATGTAACGTTAAGTTGTTGATTACATATTTCACTATATGTATATAAGATGCAAATATTATTTTATATGTTTAGTTACAAATATAAAATATCTATTAATATTATAAATGGCAAAATGTTTTATTAACTCTAGGGGCCCTAATAGCTTAGCTAATCGGAATAAACTGTAGTATACAGATCCTGTTTACTATATAGTAGGACATAGAAATCTGGTGATTAAAATTATTCCTATCGCACTAATAAAGAGTTGTGTATAATTTGAATGTAATATAAAAACTAGTAAAGACCGTATATAACTCATACTAACATTATTGTCCGAGCTATCAATTTGTAGTGTTTTGAATAAAATCCTCAGCAGCATGGTCGTACTCAGTCCAGAGCAAAATAAGGATATAATCATCTGTAACATAATTATTTGATTAAATGTTTTAACGAGAAAGCTGACGTTTTGATCTGCCGGAGTCATAATTAACTGAAACTCTCTGTCAACTACTGTAGAACTCTTTGTAGTGTTAGCGTATATAAATTTCTAATTTTATGCATTATATCAAGAACAATTACTGTCATAACTAAAAACTTACCGGTAAACTCATTGTTGAGTTAAGTTGCTCAGCGCACTTGTGTAATAGTTCGTACATTCTGTGCATAGAACTAATATCAAGTTTTGTGTTATTTGACAAGGCTTCAAACGGTTTTTGTTCATCATTTATGTATTTTTCTTCAAATGTTTTAGAAATATGACCTTTTATAACACGAACTCTTAAATAAATAGACCTGAGTAATGTACAGAAAAATACTTGTTCCAAATCGTGAGCTATACGAGATAAGTAGATCAACACCGAAAAGTAGTCATATTCACTGTTCAAATAAAACATGAGTAGAAGGTATTCAATTATACTATATAATATACAGATTAATATCCAAATAAAAATTCTACTATTAGAGACGATAATGCTGCAATCCTTGATGTTTAATTTCTCATCAAACTTGTTCAGATTTTCGAAGAAACTTTCTAATGTCTTCTTTTTAGAAGTCATAGTAATGAATACGAGAAGCAGAAACTCAATGCATGTTGTAGATTGTATTACTAAATACGATGATGTCGCAGTTGATCGACGAAGTATTGCAAAAGCTAATATACATGCCATCAAGAAAATGCTGTACACATAACTTAACCATAGCCGCACTTTTCCATATTTCAATAAATATAATCGATTAAATCCCAACACTGCTTGAACAATTATTATATAGTTCATACGATAAGCATAACTTTGGCTTTCTTTAGGTAAAATTTGAGTTTCTTTTGATGGAACCACTTGTATGGGCGTAACTTTAGAAACGGAAATCTTTTTTAAATTATTCATTGTTTTGGTTTCAATGCGCATACCTATTGAGTTACAGTTGCTGACTGCCGTTCAAATATATTAAAGTTATAAATTAATTACATTAATGAAGACAGTCATAACACTCGATTGCTGATAATAATCTTTCATTTATGTAATGGCTATTAGACTTATAGTAATCATTGTCGTAACAATTTTGTTTAATTTTGTAAATTAATATGTTACCATACTATTTATAGCCTAATACTACATAACTAATTATAGCATTTAATACTAACAAAATATTATAGCACCAATAAAGTAAATTAAATATTATCATTTTATTATGTATATAAATAAATATTTTTACTGATTGAAGAAGGTACTTTTTTCTTACATAGACATAAATAATATGAATTGGTAAAACAAATCTTACTAAGGTTCAACTTTTGTTATAAACTAAAATAATATCTAATATATTATATATATTATTTCTAAAGCCGATCAATCTTGTACATAGAAAAGTGACCGAGCCAAGTTCTTAACTATTAGAACTCCAGTGAGTGTTTGAAGTTAGAACAAGGAGTCTAACAAAGAATAAAGATACTGAAAACTGTGTTCAATTTATGGCCTAGTAATAAGCTAAACTAAGCAATGATTGATGGTTTGTTCGCAAAGGATATAAGGCAGTATGTGGGAATTAACCTTGGTGGTATTACGTCAAAATACGGAAGATTGATAGCAGCCCGTGACTCAGACAAGAATTTATAAAGCTTTCGGTTTTAATACAAAGCGGTTTTGTAACGAAGGCATGTTAGGAGCATAACGTAAAAAATATCGTTACAGTATTTATTGTAATAATAAAAAAAAATCTTAGATTCCATTTTAAAAAGCGGTCGACTATAATTCTTAGTCTTAGTCTTAGTCTTATGTATACTTCTATGTTAAAGGGGGTGGTGGTGGTCAAAAGGGGGTGGATTAATTTATTGACACAAAAAGTATACGTTCTTCCTTGTAAATACTATGTATATGTGAAATTTCATTACGACGAGGTAACACACAACAAAACAAATAATCTCACTTTCACATTTAGAATTTTAGTAATGACTACTATTTTCTTTACATTATTGTGACGACTTTGAAGCTACGAGTATGGTTGTCGTCCTTTGATTGAAGGCTAGGGACATATATGTATATAGGCATAAGTATCAATCACATACAAATCATACGATTTGATTTGATTGCTATCTATACAACAATAAAATTGTTTCGCGGAATAGCCAAATATCACTGAAATGACTGAAATATTCACGTTTTTAACAAAACTATTAAGATGTAGAAATAATATTACAAACTCACCGAATCAAGAAATTTGAAGTATTATTCTTACCCGATACGAGGATATGATGACGATGTGATATGGTGACATTCTTTAGAAAAGGTTAATCTTTGTTCTGTGGGAACGGAATAAACAATAAATTCCAATTAAGTAGTAGAATCAATTAGTATGTATAATAAAAGGAAATACCTTAATAATTTAAAATGACAAACCCCTTTTTTATTGGTTATTATTACTCTACGTAGATCAATATTATAAATGCAATGCAATATTTTATTGAACATTATGAAAATCATTTTAAGGCTATAATTTGTAGTTTGTCTGTTTGTTTGTTTGTCGTTTTAAAAAGAGTAATAACAAAACTAAGAGAGAATAATATTGGTTAGAAATGCCAGATCCTGACCCCAATTATAAGAAATTCCATGAATATTATAGATAATTTATCTTACTATACACAAAGTAGGCAGTAGAATAATTTTATATATAAAAAGAAATAAATGAAAGAAGACGATTATAGATACAAAAAAGTACATTGAACCTGAAACTTCTAACGAAATAATTGATATTCAAACAGAGTCAATAACATTAACATCACAACGTTATGAAAGAAAACAAATATAATTACCTAAAAATCCATGGAACTAACCATGTATTAGAGGTTTTTATAGAAATATCTTGAATAACATTAATATCCGTGCTATTATATTGTGACGTAAAAATCATAACCTATAAAACATCTGACTGTAACTAAAATCATAATCAAGATAACATACAGATCTCCTTGCATTGAGGAAGAATTAGCGAGTTAACATTGAATTCGAGGCGTTGTTATGATACTGTAATGAAAAAATCATAACCTTTATAACACACTTCTTCTTCTTCAACTTAGCCATCTGCAATCGGCGATGGCGATCTTTATCGTTCCTGAAAACCACCATCCTAAACCACCGCTTGAGGTTTTTCAACCAACCACCCTGTATGATTAATTGTAGAAGACTGTATTTTTCATTCATTATAAATCTCGCTATAACTACAAGCATCATCTAGATGATATATGATGATATATTGGGGTGTATTGCAGCGTCTAATGAATTGTGGCCTTGGAATCTCACCAGTCGGCCTGTAAAGGAGGTGGGTTTTTCCACTGATCGCAGACGTTCTGCAAACTCTCGCCAGTGGCTCCAAGTAGCTGTAGTGGAAACAGCGGCCACACCCCGGTAAACCGCGTCGGCTCGCGGGCTAAACCGGGTCGAGGGGGCCTGCCGTTGAGGCAGGTTGTACAGCGGATACCTCCCGCTTAGTGCACGAAGTCTATCCCGGTGGAAAAGGCGACTCATCGCAGATATGCAACGAGTTTGGCGGACCCGGCGGGATAGCAAGGCCTGGTGGACGGCTTAGGGTAATGATAGAGGACAGAGTTATCATTGGCCAGACACATCATCTGAACCTGTCTCCAGTCGTATCGGTCTCTCCGCTCCACTGGATCAAGATGGGAGAAGACGAGGGTGTGCACATGTGTTTGCGCGTACGCTTGTGCACCTAAATATCTCCTGCGCAACTGACTGCTTCCGAATATGGACTCCGATTTGACGGAAAGTCCCGTGGCGATGGGTCGAGGTAGAGAGGTCCGATTTGATGCATATTGGGCTTTGTCTGAGACCTGCACGCGGGCGGCTCCTTCTCTGATCAGGGGGACAGAGAGGGCTCGGCAGCACCTGGAGCGGCAAAGCAGCCCTATTCAGGGAAGCACTGCTTTCCCTGCTCAGCCAGGGAGGGGGCTAGAAAAGGTGTCCTAAAAATTGCTCACCCCAACACTTTAGGACGGTAGCAACCGCGGCTGCCTCCGCATCGTTAAACTCGCGGTCGACGCCACAGAAAGAAGTATACAAATAATAAAATCCCTATTATGACATTCGGCGCGTGGAATGTACGTACCCTGCTTGATCGCGATGAAAATATCTGCCCCGAACGGAAAACCGCCATTGTTGCCCGTGAACTTCGTCGCTATGATATAGATGTGGCTGCTCTCAGCGAAACACACCTAGCTGATGAAGGGGAGCTGGTGGAATGCGGTGGCGAGTATACTTTCTTTTGGAAGGGACTCGCTGCCTCTGAGACGCGTCGGTCAGGTGTTGGATTTGCGATTAAGAATAGACTTGTTAACCAGCTACAAGAGTGTCCGGTTCATATTTTGTACCGCGTTACCACACTGCGCCTACACCTGGACAAAGACAACTGTCTTAATGTCATCAGTATCTATGCGCCGACTATGGATAAGTCTGATGACATTAAGGATCAGTTTTATGAAGAGCTTTCAAGCTGTATCGAAAGCGTAAGACCTAAAGAGCAGATTCTCCTGTTGGGTGATTTTAATGCCAGGGTAGGACGGGATTACGATGCATGGCCCAATGTTTTGGGTAGGCATGGAGTTGGTTCCATGAACAGCAACGGCCAGCTTTTACTCAGTTTATGTGCATAATTCCATCTTGCAATAACGAGTATCTTGTTTAGGCTTCCCGCTAAATACAAAAATACATGGATGCACCCAAGATCCAAACACTGGCATCTAATTGACTACGCAATCGTTCGGCAACGTGACGTCTCCCAAGTCGTCGTCACCCGCGTCATGCGTGGTGCGCACTGCTGGACTGACCATAGGCTTGTTGTTGCTAAGTTGCATCTTCGCCTCTATCGTCCTCGAAGATCTGGTAGATCAAAGCCCAATGCGAGTCTTAACGTAGATGGGCTTCAAGATCTTGAGATGAGGAAAGAATATGCTCGATCTTTGGTCTCTGGTTTGCCATCCATCAACAAAGACGGCGGCATTGTGGATTGCGACTGGAGTGCTTTATCTTCTCACATACTGAACACGGCCACAACTACTTTGGGTAGTAGAGTCCGTAAGAACGAGGACTGGTTTGATGAGAATGATGAAGTATTGACGGAAGCAATTGACAAGCATCGCCGTCTCCTCCGACAACACCGCGGAGCTGACCAAAATGTGAGCGTTGCGGAGATCAGACAAAGTAATCTGCAGCTGAGGCGATTATCTAGGGAGGCCAAAGACAAGTGGTGGCGAGAGAAGGCTCAACAGATTCAGTGGCTCGTTGACACGAATCAGCTCGGAGAATTTTACGGCGAGGTTCGGAAATTAATTGGCACAACCTCTATTGCCAAAATACCGTTAAAGCCGCTGTCTGGAGTAGGTTTACTTAAGAGCAAAGAGGAAGTACTTGCACGATGGGCAGAACACTTCAGCACTCTGCTAAATGTGGACCGGGCTGCTGACCTGGAACACATTCGTTCGATTCCGCAACTCCCTGTCGCTACTGAGCTGGACGAGACACTCACTCGTGAGGAGATTGCTCTCGCCATCAAACAACAGCAAAATAAGCGTGCGGTGGGCATTGACTCTATACCGGGAGAACTGTTTAAATACGGCGGTGATGAATTGTATTCAGCTATATGGGAACATTTTGTTCGTATGTGGCAAGAGGAATAAGTCCCATCTACTTTTAAAGTATCACGTATCAGGGCCCTATATAAGAACAAGGGTGACCGGTCCGATTGTAATTCATACCGTGGTATTTCGCTACTATCAGTCCCTGGAAAAGTCTTTGCACGAGTGTTGCTGAACCGCCTTATGACGCTTTCCGAAAAACTTCTTCCCGAAACCCAGTTCGGCTTCCGGCCAGAACGAGGT